TTTTTTTTTAAGATATATTTATTGGGGCTGGAAAAGTGGCTCAGTGGTTAAGAGCACTGGCTGCATTTCCAAAGGTCCTGGGTTCACTTCCCAGCAACCACATGGTGACTCACACCATGTATAATGAGATCTGGTGGCTTCTGGTGTGAAGGCATACATGCAGGAAGAGTACTGTATAAATAATAAACAAATCTTAAAAAATATTTATATATTTATTATGTATACAGTGATCTGTCTGCATGTACACCTGCACTCCAGAAGAGGGCACCAGATCTCATTATAGATGGTTATGAGCCACCATGTGGTTGCTGGGAATGAGCTCAGAACCTCTGGAAGAGTAGTCAGTGCGCTTAAGCTTTGAGCCATCTCTCCAGACCCCTGTTTGTTTATTTTTTAATGGTGATGGTATTGTTATTTTTTCTATATTCTGATGTGGTTTCCCCTCCCACCCAAATTCATATTCTCTCTTGTATTAGAAAATAAATGGGCATCTAAAAAATATAAATTCATATGATAAAAACAAACATGCTAGAATAGAAAAACAAACAAACAAACACAAACAAACAGAAGAAAAAGAGCCAAAGAAAAGGCATAAGAAACATGGAGATGCATAGACACACACAGAGAAATCCAATAAAACACAAAATTGGAAAGCATAATATATATGTAAAAGACTACAAAATAAAGGGAAAAAATTCCTTATTTTATTTTGAATTGTGTGTGTGTGTGTGTGTGTGTGAGAGAGAGAGAGAGAGAGCCCACAGAGTCCAGAAGTGGCCTTTGGCTCCCCTGGAGCTGGAGCTATAGGAAGTTGTAAGCCAGACAGTATGGGTAGTGAGAATCAAACCTTTACCCTTTGCTGCTGCCATACCTGCTCTTCATCCTCTGCCGCTTCCATACCTGCTCTTCACCCTCTGCCGCTGCCATACCTGCTCTTCATCCTCTGCCGTTGACATCCTTGCTCTTCATCCTCTGCCGTTGCCGTGCCTACTCTTCAGCGCAGAAATGTCTCTCCTGCTCCCGCCCAGGCCTTGCTTGTTTTTCTTGACTCACTGAACCATCTCTCTAGCCTGGATTTTATAAGTTACTAAGTGTCTTGGTCTGTTGTGTGCAATAGAATACAAATACAACCTCAGTTCCTATCCCATTGAAAGATTTTATTTTCTTCCTGCTTTTCTTCTGAATTACTTTAAATTTTCTAGAAAAGTTCCATGAATTCTGCAAACATCCCCAGGTCCTTCACCTGGGCTACCTGAAAGCTGCCATGTTACTACGTTGACACACCAGCCTTTCCACACTTCCTCACCACCAAAGGTTCTCCAGTCTGGCGTTAATGTATAATCCCTTTGTTTACACAGGATGCCAGCAAGACCAAGGTCTCTAGCCCTTCATCTGACAGTTCCTTTGCCCATGTGACCCGCCGACCCTGCTGCTCTGTTTTCCTCACTCCTTTGCTGGTGTGAGATGCCAGGTGGCAGTTCCTTCTGGGGTTGGGTGCAGTGTTGTCTTTGCTCAGGGCCTTTGTGCTTGTCCCCACAGTCCACTCTGCTGTGGCCTAATGCCTGCCCCATTGCTGCTGGGTCTACCTCACTTGGCCTTCTCTCCCTCCTAGGTCTGCAGAGAGCTAGGCCTGTCCAGGGCCTTCTGTGAGCAGATGAGGCCAGAGTGAGGCCAGCTGCAAGGCACGATTCACCCAGGCCTGTTTCAGTGTAGAACATTGGATGACGTTTGACCATCTCCTGCCCCTGAACATAGGTTCCTGATGGCCTTCATTGTCTGGTGAACGCTATAAAAAATTCATTTTAATTTAAGTTTTAAGTCACTTTTGGGAAGGTTATCTTTAACTGCAGGCAATAGAATTACCATAAAAATTTGGTAGCTTAGAAAATTACATTGTTGTGTAATAAAAATTTGAGGATTTTGCCCTTTAGTCATAGAATTTTTCCTCAGCATGGCCAAACTGAGTTATAATGTGTGAAAGTGAATTTTGTTTCAGGGGCTGTAAGTGAGCTGTAGTTTATGGGGTATCTGCAGTGGGAAATGCTTCTTTGGCCATAAGAAGGTATGGTAAAGAGAAACTGGAAAGGGGAGTCATGTAGCCATTGTGAGCTGAAAAATAAGTGGTTCCTGCGGTCAGTGTCTACGGTCAGCCTGAGAGGCCTGAGAAGGCCCTGGTAAAGCGTGTTCGCCTGGGTGTGTCTGTGAAAGGGACCCAGTGGGGACTAGTTAGGAGGTGCACCTACCTGATATGTGAGCCACAGCATCCTAGAGGCAGGCTGGCCCAGGTTCTACCAGAGAGGAACAGAGAAAGCCAGTGGGGTTGCCATTCTTTGCTCTGCACCCTGCCTGCCACCGTGGAAGCAACCTCTGAAACGGGCACCAGGATAACCCTTTCTTTCTAAAGCTGTTTTAGCATATATTTTGTCTCAGCAACAGTCTAAGATTGCTCTGCAGCAGACGTGAGCAGAGAGAGACAAACCCACTGGGTGGAAGTGAGATGAGGCCATTCAGTTTGACAGACAGGAAGAGTGAGGAAGGGAAAAGACAGCACCTTAGCCTGTGTTGTGACTGATGAACAAATCACTTAACAGCTTTCAGTTGAGGAGAAACATAATGAACAGGTTCATTGAGAGCAGTGGACATGTTAGAGTAGAACTGCAGAGAGCCAGAGCTAGGAAAACAGTCTCTTTGGCCGCATGTGAGAAACTCAGCAACTGCCTTTCCATGAGAAGGCCAGAAGGTGGCGGGTGCTTAGGGCAGCAGCACTGGGAATTCTGCAGCCATTGAAACTCCCCTGCAGAAATGGAGAAAGAGGTGGTCTTAGGTAAAAACCCAAGAGAGTTCCCAGAATGTAGAACTTGCCTAGATTTAGTCACAAGGAAATAGGAATGTGCTCAGACCTCCAGCAGGTCAGTGGCTCTGTTAGCGATTGAAAACTTCATGAGGCAAGGCCATGATGAGATGGCTGTTTAGTGAGTTCTAACCAGACAGCTATGGAGCCACCATCAAGCCTTTTCAAACTCTGGGAAGTCCAACAGGAAGGAACATTTAAGTCCAATTTATGAAGCCATCATAGTAACACAAGACAAATACGTGACCACAGAAAGCCCCCACTCAATACCAAGAAGCCGAATTCAGGAGCATATTGAAAACATGCCATCGAAAGCGGTTTTATTCCAGTAATACAAGGTATGGACCATGGTCCATCAGTGTGCCAGCCTTGGTAAGAGTGTAAGGACATAGTCTGCTCTCTGGTTGTTAGAAAATCATTTGTGGACATTCAGCACAATTCAGTGGTAAAATACTGAAACCTTGACTGGAAAGGATCATTCCTTGGAACAGGAACAGCTAATGTGTGTGGCTGATAAGAGCTGTCTGCCTTGTTCCTCAGTGAAGAACAAGACAAGTATCCATGTCACCAAGCTGAACATTGTGAGCATGCCAGCAAGACAGGAATGAGGAGGAATCCAACCAAGTAGAAAAGAAAGCAAGAAATAAGCCTTTTCAGGTGACATGATCGTAAGATACAGAAAACCCCAGGTATGCTCTGTAGAGAAGGGCATTGGAAAAGAGGTATACCTGTGTCTAGCACCAAGGTTCTCCAACTAGCAGCCTGCCAGTCAGTGACAAAATTTCCTTGTGTTTCTCTGTGTTCAGTAAATGCTGCAAACAGGAAATAAAGAAGACAGCTCCTCTCACACTCTTAGGGATAAATTTGGCCAACAAAACTCCAGCCTGGTGCTCTTTGAAATCCTTTAGCTTGAGTGTTTGCTTAGTCCATGACCTTCGTGATACAAGGAAGCTGACTGGATTGTGTCCTTTGAAGGGGTGAGAAGCTTTTTGGGTACTAAGCTGGGGTCTTGGCTGCCGTAGCAGGCAGATTGCTGTGGAGCTTCTGTGGTCTGTGTCAACATATCATATTCCTCAGAACTAAGCTGCACGCTAAGGAAATCTTCCCTTTGTTCCTGTTCTGGCGTGGGAAGCACACGTTTGTCCAGCAGTTAATGAGAAATCAGGGTACAATGACATTTTATTTTATTTTTTTTTCTAGATTCTTTCTGTGTTTGACATAATGGTGGAAATTAAAGGACCTTGAGGGGGAAATTCATCAGTATAATGAAGGCTTATTGCAATTATATTCTGACCTTGGTTCTTTCCTCTGCCACCATATATGTCTCACAGAGTTCATTGTATTCTAAAGATGAGTACACCTTTTGTGCACCACTAGCTGTTCGTAGAGTGATTGCACGCTCCTGTGCCCTAGATGAAGCAATGTGTTCGTGATTTCCAAAGATGACTGAATTGTCTGGAAGTTTTTTTTTATAGTTTAAATTAAAATTTCTTATTGTTCACACTGATAGAAACCCAGCTGCACTCCAACTATCAAGATAAATTGGTGTGCTGTCTATAAAAACTAGCTCTTGTGTTTAAGTGAATAACAGAGAAATACAATTTATATGCAATTAATCTAATCTGTTGAATGGCGAGCCAAAGGGCAGTCGCAGCACAGTGATGCTCACGGTAGGTTTATAACATTTCCTTGTTTCTCTCGGGGTTAATTTCAGTGTGTGTTACATGATAACCTCATCATAGCAGAGTGTTTATTTCCCTAAGCTGCTTTGGTTATATATTTTAAATTGGAAAGCTAACATATAGCAAAAGAGTGTAAGCTAGATTAGTTAGTTCAAAACAAATCATCCCTTCTCTGTGGTCCCAAGAATGCCAACATTCATATGCTTGGCCTACAGAGTCAAGTGTCAGACCTAGGCATCACTGACAGTTACTCAGCTTGGTAGTGAATTTCTGCAGAAGAAAACCTGCAAAGTTATTGCTCTAAGAGAATGATGCTATTTGAAAAAAACAAAACAAAACAAAAAAAAAACAAAATCAGCAAAATGTTTAGCTGATTATCAAATTATTCTGACTGTTGAATTATTTGTGCAGTTTAAAGTTTGATTGTATAAGCACATCTAGCAGAGAAAGCTACACTTTTGGAGTAATCTGCTTATGAGTGGGTAATATTTGTGTTTACTCAGTTTCAACTGGACTGTGTATCATGACATATGTAATTTTTTCTTGGAAGTAAATAATGTACCACTTTCTGACATTAAATTATCCTTCACCAAGTTCTTAAAAGTGTTTGAAATCCTGACTAGCTATTGGTCTGGCCTGTATTTATAAATCTAAGTTTGCGTCTTGTTTTTCCTGGGAAGATTAGCACTTTTCCTCAAATTTTTAGAGATCTGTGACAGTTAGTAAGAAACTTTATTTTTAGTGGTTACATGATCATTACAGATCATTGACATATTCACTTGCTTTTTGACATTTTTCCAGCAATACTGGCTTTATTCATCAATTGTATGTTTGCCTAAATAGAAAACCCAAGATTAACAACTGTTAGAATTAGTAAATCTAGTAGTTTCTACCTTTCAAGTTATTTGTTTGTTTGTTTTTAAGACAGAATTTTACTATGTGGTCCTGGCTGTCCTGGAACTTGCAGAGATATGCCTCCCAATTACTGGGATTAAAGACATGCACCACCACCCCAGATAGCTTTTGACACTTGATAGGATATTAGAAGTATAACATACTTAATCAAAAAGACTTTACCAATAAAAGCTAATATTTTATTTAAAGAAACTAATGATAGAAATAATACAAAATAATGAAAATAAGATAGTAAAAATACAGTGAAGGCTATTTCTGTAATCTGGAAATGGGAAAATTGTGTGAGCATAAGGGAGCCTAAAGCTAAAACAGCAATGAAACCAGAACAGGGTAAACAAACAAACATACAAAAACCATGGAATATACTGCAAACACTAGCAGATGATTAACTCAGGGAAGCTAAATTTGTAATATGTAGTGATTCACAATTTTAAATGTATAATGAATGAAGAATCTATATTTAATAAAAGTCAAAATAGAAAGATAGGCTAAAGATAGTTCCCAGGAGGAAAACACGAAGAGTATTAGCACTGTGACAGTATGCTCAATTTCATTTAACTATGGGTGCAAAGCACAGGGTTCCCTGCTGGTGGGTGCTAGCAGCACAGGCTTTGGAGGTGTGTGTGGCGTCTTAAACATACAAATTGAACCTTGTTTACTCATCACTTCTGCTTCCAAAGTGAGGTTGTAGGAGTTAGAGCAGTGGCACTGTGCCTTGTGGCTAAAATGCAGGTGGCCTCTTCATACTGTAGATAAACTGGAGGCAATGGCAGTTGGGTTCTTTTTCCTGCTATAGAATGTCCAGAATGGGATGTAGGTGTGGGAGAGGGGGTGGATGAGGTAGCAGATGTGCTTATCGTAGGGTAGCGTCAGAAGAAAATCACAAAGAATCTCCTTAGTGTCCCTTGGCTGGTTGGTTGCAGCTGGCCTTTTGTATGAGACATCCTGTGTGCTCTGGGCTGTGGCAGTTTGTGAATAGTGTGTGTGTTCAGGTGATGTGGTTCCAGCATGTGGCACTCTGTGAGGGGTAGGCGGTCATGATCACATAAACTGAGGGCTGCTGGCCGGGAGCTGAGTGCCGAGAAAGCTCTGGAATTCCATGTCGATACCAAGGCAGAGGAACGCCTCGAGCATGTAGAGCCCTCAGGACATGGGTCGAGGAGCCTGCCAGGGAGAGGCTTCTTCGCACGTATGCTGAGGCCCACTCCTGTGTCTCCAAGGAAAGGTTCACCTTGTTTTTGTTTACGTTATTTAAATGTCTGGGAACACAGTCAACTTAGCTTTCTGGCCAAAATGTTGTTGTCAGACATGTTTCTTGTAAAGTGAGTGGAATCCTTGTGTCTGAAGAACTTACTCATAGCCTCACTTTATAATAATTTCTTTTTCACTAGCAACTAAATTTTCACGAATATTTCTACTGCTCGGTGTTCTTTTACTTGTAGTTTTTTGTGGCATCAGATCCAACCGTTAAAACTGACCGACTGTGGCATGACAAGTACACTCTGAGGAAGTCGATGATCCCTTCCTTCATTACAATGGACCAGTCCAGGAAGGTAGGCGGGTTGCGGGCACTGTGCCACTCACTGTTCATCGTTATTGCTGAGAATGTGCGAATCTGTGACAGAACTGATTTTCAGCTGAAGTTTTGTTGTGCTCTGCTAACGGGCTGCCCTGGTGTATGCTTATCCATGTGTTTTTTGACCTCCTAGAACTCACTTGATACAAATCCAGCACTTGTGCCCTGTGTTTAAATTGGTAGCTGATGGGTAATGTGTGAATATTTGAAGTGTTTGCATCACTGGCTTGTATAAAGGGGAATTATAGCTCATTTTCCTTTTTAGGTCCTTTTGATAGGAAAGTCAATAAATTTCTTGCACCAAGTTTGTCACGATCAGACGCCTACCACAAAAATGATAGCTGTGACCAAGTCTGCAGAGTCACCCTGTGATGGTATGTTTATTGTAATGGTGGGGAAGGTGATGGGAATATCATGGTGGTGATGGTGGTGACAGTGACAGTGATGGGCTTGTGGTGGTGGTGATGGGCTGGTGGTGGTGAGATGGTGGTGGCCATGTGCTTATGAAGGTATGAGGTGGTGAGTGTAGACAGTGTTCATGATGATATGTTGCTTACAAAACTGTGCTCATACAGAGCATATATGTACATACATGAAATATCTATTGCTATGTGGATGTTCACGTTTTTCAATATGGAGTTAGTAGTATTGGAATAGTTAGCTGTTTCCTCCTTAGTGATGGTCATTGCTTTATTCCCATGATGATAAAAAGATAGTAAATAAATAAAGCAGATGGGAAGGCAGTGCTAGCCTTATGACTCAGGATCTTCAGAGGTCAGGTTCTGACCGCATTCTGAAGGTTCCTTTGTCAACTGGTAGGAATCTGCCACCCCATTTCCTTTTTTCTGCTCTCTGCCTGCCTCTGCCTCTATGCTTCCCTGTCAGCTCACTTCCAGTTTTCTAGTACTCTTGCCATCTTGGTTCTTTCACTTTGCGTAAGAAGTGGTGCATGAAAACTCCAGCCAAAGACTAGAGCAGAATCTAGAGATTTAGGAAGCACTTATCTACATACGATTGCTAAGGGCAAGGACAATGCTGTGGAAAGGGCTGCTGAGGTCAGGAGGCAGCCTGTGCAGCTCCTGAGAGCTGCAGCTTCTCACACAATGGCTTGCATGCAGACTTCTGCACAGCCTCTGGGGCAGTCCGTGAGAGAGATGGGATCTGGAACCAGATCTGAGTTTCTCTGTGTGTAAGAGTTGGAAGAGGAGTTGGAAGAGGTGCAGGTGGACCCCTGGAGTCTCCAGTCGGGTTGGGATGATGCTCTGATGTGGTTGTGAGACCAGTTAAGTGAGGACATCTTTCTTTTAGCTATAGCCTGCAGTGTGGTCCTTGAGCTTGTGTGTAGTGCTGAGGCTGACCCTCCTGGAAACCCAAGGGTCAGCCTTTACTCTTGGTCCAGGGGACGCTGGCCTTGTAGGGTCAGCACTGCTTTACCTTCACTGACTGAGGCTGGACTGGCTTTCCATTGATGGGTTGGCTCTGGTTCTGTATATGCCTTGATTGTTCCTCTGTTAAGATACGTGTTACATATGGATGTGTCCCTGTCCCTTTTGTTTTTACAGCTGCAGATATATTCACAGACTTAGAAAATGCGTTTCAAGGGAAAATTGATGCTGCTTATTTTGAGACCAGCAAATATCTGTTGGATGTCCTCAATAAGAAGTACAGTCTGCTGGAGCACATGCAGGCCATGCGGCGCTACCTGCTTCTCGGCCAGGGAGACTTTATACGGCACCTAATGGATTTGCTAAAGTGAGAAACTCCATCTTTAACTTGATGAAAACCTGACGATTTTTCTTTAAAAGAAGAAGTGACATCTGGAGGAAATGAGTTGAATCCTTACAAAATCTACATGGATAAAATTTTCATGGGTTAAATCCCTTACTTTTTTCTTTGGCTGCCAGCAGACCATCATATGTGTGCCATGCCAAGTTCATGAGGATGCCTCATGTTGCCATGAATCCCATGGCTATACAGTAGTTCATGAGGATGCCATGAGTGCTGTGGCATATATAGTAGCTCCCTGAGTGGGCGGAGTTGGAAGATAATCACAGTTAATTTTGGCTTCAGTTTGAAATTAATTTGACAAGTGCATGGTTTAAGTTGGGCTATTAGTTCCTGTGTCTTATGCAGCGTGGCAAAACCTTGCCTTTCTTGCTGTGTTCCCTGTGGCCTTCCTCCTGTTGTACGATGTCAGACGTGGTGTAGTTCAGGGCTCTGGATGGGGCTGGTGTTGAATGGGCCATGATTGGTCACAGCAGGGCCAGCCCCTTCACTGAGGCATTTGAAGGATATGGTCACTTGTTGTGTCTCAGGTCCCTTTAAGGATATACAAATTAATTGTTTCCCATAGGACAAAAAAATAGCAAGGTACCTTTACACCTTGCCTGTGCTAAGGAAGCTGATGTTTGGACCTGTGGTCTCAAGGTTAGCTTTATCTGACTTCCCAGGAGGTCCAGTCCCCAGCTGTCCCATCTTAGCCACCAGGGACATTTGTGTGGCAGTGCTGCCCTGGAGCTTCTCAGGTGGAGCTGGTTATCGGCTGCTATGGAGGCTTGGAAATCCCACTGGCTGGGGAGCGTTACCACACCAGAATTGAGGGATTCTTAGAGAGGTAGTTTGAAGGGAATGTGGTGAGGGCTGTTAAAGGGAAGGTGTCCTCTCGGTGCTGGCCTGGATGCGCACAGGGTGTGGGCTTGTGCAGACAGCCTAGCCGGGTAGGGCAGAGTTGGAGGTCTGGATAGCATTGCAGATCACCTCCTCCCCACAGTACTGTCTTCGCCTGGGAGTCACCTCCTCAGAGGTGTGACTTCAGCGTAAGGGAGAACCATCACGCTGACTCCGGTTGGCTGCAGGTCCATTTGAGGGTCTGTGTCTTTTCACCTTGCCTGCACTAGCGCTCATAGGCCCACCTGAGATGGTTGCTGTCTCTCAATCATGTCTGGAAACAAAGAAACAGCCCTCAGCAATAAAGTACGATGGGTGCTGGGCAGTGGTGTGGTGAGGTTGGGCCCTTTGGAACTATCATGTCTATACTTAATTGTACAGATGTTGGTCTTCGTAGGAAATTATAATGATCCTACCCATGGGCCAGTCATAATTTGAAAACTATCGATGTATAGAACGTATAAGTGCTTTCAGCCTAAGCTGAATGAAAATTACTATTTTTGATATTTTGAAGAGATGTGCTTTCTACAATTCTGTTGGCAGTTCATGTCATGAAGCTGTTTTTAGTGAAGCAGAGTTGGGGTTCTTAAAGGTATTTTAATAGATTTTGAACATAGGGGTATGAGAAAGAAGATGCAGGAAGACAGAGCAAAGCATGGTGTGGGCTCCACTGAGTGTCTCACGTTGTGGTCTTTGCAGTGGTCACACACGGGGTTCTGGACCTGTAGTCTTTAAGGGATTCTAAGAAACCCGAGTGAGTCCACAGGGTGGTTGCTAGGGCACTGTAGTACTCTTAGAACTACGTTTATCCATCCCATTTGTCTTTTTACTTTTTGACCTTTTACATTTTAAATTAGTAGTTTTTGTTTTTGTTTTTTTTTTTTTTAAGAACTCAAATAACAGTATCTTTAATTTTAAACATATTTCTTAAGACCAGAACTTGTTCGCCCAGCAACGACTTTATATCAGCATAACTTGACGGGGATTCTTGAAACTGCTGTAAGAGCCACCAACGCCCAGTTTGATAGCCCAGAGATCCTCAGGAGGCTAGATGTGAGGCTGCTGGAGGTACATGAGGGTGCTGGGGCACGTGGGGGTGATGGGGCAGCTGATTCCCAGTCTCCTCTCCAGTATCTTCCAATTATGTCAGTCACAAGTCTGGTCATTCCTGGAAACTAAACTTCCTGTGTGTGCTCTGCCCTGTATTAGGGGAGGCGAGCCCCTCTCCTTAAGCCACATCATCTGCTCAGGGATAGTTCCCAGGTTGGATGCTGTGTATGAGATAGGACACATCTCAGATACAGATGTGTATCTGTATGTGTATCTGAGATACAGAGCATGGGAGCGTCACAGGTGCTTAGTGACGTGAGCCACATGTAATGGTAAATTGGAGTGGTGCACATGTCCAGCAGGGGGACCGCAGCTGCTCCTCAGAGCTGGGGCAGCAGAAGGGCCGTGCTTGGAGCTGGGGTGAAGAGCATGAGTCCTCACTGCCTGATCTGTTTGTCACTACTAGAAACTCACTGGCTTTCTTGAAATACAGGCTTTTCGAGGTTTAAAGCCTGGTTGGAGGCAGTGTGGTTTGCCATAAGTGAGCATGTGTTTGTACTGTTCATTCAGAACAACGCCACTTTTTCCTGAGTGTGATGTGCCTCACTCCCTTTTGCTTGGATGCCGGGCCTGTGAGCAGGCCCATCCCTGCTTGCGCTGCAGAGCACTTCCTGGTTTTAAAGCCTGCACCTTATTTTACTGCCTTGTTGCTGAGCAGTTGACAGGTTCTTTAGCAATAAGTAAAAAGCCTTTCAGTTATTTGTTGTTTTATTTTATTACTGGTAGGTTTCTCCAGGTGACACTGGATGGGATGTCTTCAGCCTGGATTACCATGTTGATGGACCAATTGCCACTGTAAGATTGATCAATCATTCTGTGTATTTGTGTGCAATGTTCACAGCTGTTTGGATTGCTGGCCATTTTATTGTTTCAAACTGTCTTTTTTTTCCCCAAGAACTAAGGTTCAAAGTAATTGTGATGTAGGATATATACCCACTGAATGAGTTGCATAAGCCAAGGCTGTGTTCCAGATAATTATTAATGAGAGCTGAAATGCTCTATTATTTTAAGAATTCTTAGAGATATCATTTGTTCTGTCACAGGTTTCAGCAAGTGCTTAATAAATGCATTGTTCATTTTATGCCATTATTCTTAGACTGTAGCAACTAATTTAGGATAATTTGAAAGGAAGCATAAAGTATATTTTAGGGGAATCGTTTTTTTCCACTTAGATGAAATTTGATATTTAGCATTCATTGAAGCTGATGAGCCGATAGCTGTCTCATTGTTCACGCATTTTCACTCACCTAGGAGAAGGGCCGTTTCCTCTACCACATCACAGAAGCTTGGCTAGAGGAGGCATGCGCGCGTCTGCAGTTAAACTGCCTTTCTCGCTCATGTTTTCTCTTTTTAGGATTGAGTGAATCCTCCTGACCTCAGACCCTCTGAAACTTTGTCATTTCTGTGTCTGTAATGATGAGGAAGTAAACTGTTCCTTTTATCATTGGGGATATTTGCTAAGCATGACTGGACTCTAAAGTCCCTTCTCTGTGGCTGGTGCACAGTGGCTGCATGACTGTCCCTTTTGTGGGATAAATCACATCCCGGCTCTGATGACTCCACGGAAGCCACATCCATAGAACGCCAGTCACACGTGTGTCTCGGTTCACTGTGGCCCAAGAGCTGTTAGGAAGGGTTCTTTGACTCATGAATCCCCTATTTGACTTTGATTGTTCTTACATTTAGTCTGTCACCATATTCAGAGTGGCCTTTGTCCTTGACTGGTGTCCTGAGTAGTAGTAATTACTGTGCACAACTGCATGGCATCTCAGCAAGCTGTTTAGGACTTAATATTGTCTGCTTTGTTAGCTTCTGTGCATTATGTATTTTCATGCATAAAAGGTACATTAATAAGGCTCAGAAGCCAGGCATAGTGGCTCATGCCTGTAATCCCAGCACTCAGAGAGGCAGAGGCACCAGATCACTGTGAGTCTGAGGCCAGCCTGGTCTACAAAGCGAGTTTAGGACAACCAAGGCTACACAGAGAAATGCTATCTTGCAAAAAGCAAAAGTTAAAGAAAAAAAAAAAAAGGTTCAGGATACAGCTCAGTGCTAGAGCACTTGCCTAGCATGTATGAGTGAGGTCTAAGTTCCATCCCTAGGCCACAAAGACAACCACGCCATACATAGTAAAGATATTTGCATGGACTGTTAAGAGAGTACAAGTGCCTTTGTACTTTGAGGTGACTGCATGTGGTCTAGATGTGTGATTACTCATTTGTTGGATGGTGTTTGTTATTGTGCTGTGTATAGCTAAAACTCAGAGGCTTTAGATACAACTTTAGCAGGACTGAAGAAGCACAGTTTATACCACAGCTTTATTTTAATGACACATCTGTGACAGCCTGGTCACAATTGGCCCACAGGTATCAGGGGCCAGCTGAGTTTTGACAGGAGCCAGGCTGCCACATAGAGAAAGGGGAGAAGGACAATGGTGTTATTTGGAAGCCCATCCAGGAACAGAGTGCAGGAGTGCTCATGCATGACTTATGGCGTTTCTTTTGTGGGTGGAGAATATCTTTATCACGGCCCTTACTATAGGCGCATTACTGCACATTGTTAGACATTGTTTATCATGTTTAATTGTATACAGAGGTTATATCAGGAGATATATCAGGAGGCTGGGGAGTTGACAAATTTGAGGACTGCAGTTCAGATCTCCAGTTTTCATGTCAATGCTACATGGACAAGGCGGCCCTCCTGCAGTCCCAGTGCACAGAAAGCAGAGACAGGAGAGCTCAGGATGAGCTGGCTAGTGTAGCTAGTATAGCTGCTGGGCTCAGGTAAGACTCCGTCTCAGTAACAGAAGGTGGAGAGCAGATATCTGCATGCACATGCGCCATGTACAGGCGTACACACATGCAAAAGGAGAAATGCACAAAAGATAAAGGAAGCCTATTCTATAAACACAGGTGTTTTTTTTCTGCTTTTCTCTTGGTTAATTTGTGTGTTACCTGTTTCCATTCTATTCTCATTAATTGAGGTTGGCATTTTTTGAACAGAATTTAATTACAGTAGGAATATATCTTATAGCAATCATATAATTGTATCTTATATAATAGCAGCATTAGGTTCTGCTAATTCTAAGATATAAAATGTCAGTGAAATTTTTGGGTTAGTCTAACTTGGGACATTGTGAAATTCACAACCCAGCTTACTGAAGAACACATTAGCTAAATCCTACTCATTAATGCTGTTAAGTATTTCTGGTTGATCTTGCTTTTTATGAGTCTCAAGCTGTGGTAAAGTCCATCTGGACCTAAGTGTGATGAGGTCACATAGTCTTGAATTCAGCTGCAGCAGACTTATTTGGAGGGCTTGCAGTGGTGCTCTGTGCAGCGTCCGAGGCTGGTGAGGGAAGCTGAGAACAGGGCATCATCAGGGCTGCTGAGCAAGACAGGATCTCTGCAGATAAGAAGTCTGGAGCTTGCTGAATCTCTGGGCTCTAGTCTCCCTTAGGTGAACCATATAATCGTGTATATAGAGAAGAGTTCTATAGTTGACTCATGACATCTAAATCAGCCATGCTTAATTTCTGTAATCACAAGAGTGATAATTAATAGTGTAGGAAGAAATCAATATGCAGATAATCCCCCAAACTCTTGGATTTGATTTTGAAATTACTCCAGAGCAGGTTCCAGTCACTCCTGTGTATTGTTATTTGCTTGTCCGTCATCACCACCACCACCATCACCGAGCACCTTCCCAAGTCCGCCATTGAGTGGCCTAGGGGAGAATGATTGTTACACATGTGTGAGGAACACAGAAGAACACAAGATAAGGTGGCGCACAGTTAGAGTTCCGTGCTGAAGTGTAAGGAACAAGGTTAAAATTCTAAGAGACTGTGTGGAGTACAGCTAGATGGCTGCTGAGGTGGAAAGGTAGGGTGAGCACTGCAGGGTCTCCTGGGAAGGCAGAAGGACAGACAAGGCAAGCTTTCTCGGGGATCAGAGCTTCAGAGCAAAGTGTGGCCCTGTGCCTATGCTGAAGCCTATGTGACCCTGTGGTCAGTGCAGGCAGCTCTGTCGGAGGCTTCCTTCACTGTCTAGTATAACTGGGTAGCCTGCATTTTATTTGTGAAACTTGGCCAGCACAGGAGGGATGACGGGAGGAGGGCCTGAGACAGTCTACACCAGGAGCCAGCACTTGCCCGAGAAGTCGCATCTGTGGGGTTCGGAAGAAGTCTGTAAACCCGTGATGGTGACCTGGAAGACTTCTCAGGGTGGAGGTGCCGCTAGGCTTGTTTGCTTTGGGAGATGTTGTCACTAAAGCAAGTGATTCCTCTGCCTTTCTCTCTTAGAAGTTGGGGGCTACAGTCAGATGTTCAAGTTTAGACTGATATGGGCTGGCTTTAAAGTCCTGGTGAGTTATGGCTAGAGAGTTGGCTCAGTGATTAAGAACACTTGCTGTGCTTCCATAGGACCTATGTTCTATTCCCAGCACTCATGGTGGCTCACAGCCATCTGTAACTACAGACTCAGGGGATCCAGTGTCCTCTTCTGGTCTCCCAAGGCACCAGGCATGCACATGGTTCACAGACACACATGTAGGCAAATATAAAGCATAAAATAATTTTTTTTAAAGCCAGGCCCTGTGGTGCATGTCTTTAATCTTAGCACGTGGGGGACAGAGGCAGGCAGGTCTCTGAGGTGGAGGCCAGCCTGGTTTCCGTAGAGAGTTCTACCCTGTCCTGAAAACCAGAGTGGGGCAAAGTCCTGGTGAGTTGTCTGCTGGTCATACCTGCCCTCACCCCTGTGTCTGCAGCTGCAGGGCTGATATAAGCACGCCTGCCTGCTGCTGGTGTAGAAGTGACTAGGTGGCTGCTGCTCCAGTGCAGTTCTCCTGAAAGCGCCACCTTCCTTATTTAGGTCCCATGTAGACTGGGCTGGACTTGTGTGGTTGCTGGTTATGGGAAGGCTGGGGCCTGGGCTAGGGAGTTTTTTGCACATGAGCCACAGTGTGTCTTGTCTCTCCAGGTGTTCACGCGAGAGTGCATGGGCCACTACCTGAGAGTGTTTAACTTCCTGTGGAGGGCCAAGCGCATGGAGTATATCCTCACTGACATACGGAAAGGACACATGTGCAATGCGAAGCTCCTGAGGAACATGCCAGGTAAAGCCAGAGGAGGCCAGCGAGCCTGGGCCTGCCGTGCTGTGTTCTTTTGGCATCAAACATTAAAGTCTTAAAGTAACTGAGCTGAAAGGACTCAGAGTTGTGCTTTGACTTTGGATTTATGAAAAGGTTTCTTTGTATCACAGTTTCTTGACTTAATCACAGGGTAAGAGAAAATTAAGTCACACTGGATATTTTCCCCCATACCATGAAGTTTTGTTTAGTTTTGTTTTGTTTTGATCACATTTGTTTTTCAGTAAAGTTCCTGGTGTAGTTTAATTAAAATAATAATAACAATGATACTGTAGTGTGAGTGCCTGAGTCCGTGTAGATGCACCATGTGTATGCTTGGTACACATGGAGGCCAGAAGAGAGGTTGGAGCCTTGGAAGCGGCGTCACAGACATTTGTGAGCTGTCACGTGGGTGCTGGTAATCTAACCTGGGTTCTCAGAAAGAGCAGACAGTGCTCTGAACCATTGAGCCGTCCCTCTAGTCCCTGTTAAATACCAATTTTCAAGGAAGGACACTATTTCAATAGGTCCCTGCTTTACTCAAAATTCACTTAGTGCCTTAACTGTATTCTCTTTGAAGTATTAATTTTTCTTTTGACCATAATCCAGGATGTGGACGTGTTTTATATTTTATAATTTAGAAATATAGTTAAGACACTTAGATATTTAGTCAAGATTGTGTTAATGTTACAAAGTTGAACAGCTTCAGTTATGAATAATTTTGAGTTGATTATACTGAACTCAATTATGAAAGCATTCCATAAACCTCTCCAAAGAACAATTAAACTGAAGCTGCCCTTTGATTAGTAAATTATGAGTAAAATGGAGCAGTTGTTTGAAGGAAGAGATTTCCTCATCGCTGCTGTGGGTTGTAGGTTGACTCCAGACCGTGATGGCTACAGCAGACTGCAGACAGGAGCAGCCAACCAAGCCCGAGTGGCCGTAGGAGAAAGTGGCCTTTCCCAGGGCTCCCAACACTGCCTGTACTCATGGGTGGCTGAGAAGGAAGAGAAGGGAGTGCAGCCAGCTTCCTGTTTCACAAGATGAAGCTGACAGGGTGGTGGTGAGCTGGTCTTCTTCATAGCCTTCTCACCACAAGGAGAACTGGCTTCCTAGGTCCTCAAGGAAAAAGAACACAATGTCTTTGTGCAGGGCTGAGGCGAGGCTTGTGCAGAAGGTGACCTGTTGTGTTCCACCCTACCCCCGCTCCCAATCTGACCCTTCAATTGTATTTCCTTCTGTATAAGCTGTCCACTTACTCGTTGAGATAAAAGCAATGTTTAGACATCGGGCTTTTAGAGGCGTGGAGCAGTGCTAATCCTCTGGTACGCTGACAAAGCACACTGGTTGGTGGCAGTGCAGTCTGTTCTGTATAAGACAGTAGCGCTCTATGAGCTTAAGAAATGTAAGTGAATGGCTGGAGAGCTGCCTGTGCTTTAGAGCACTTGTTCTGGCTGAGGACCCAGGTTCAATTCCCAGCACCCACATGGTGGCTTACAACCACCTATTACCTCAGTCCCAGAGAACTTGATGCCTTCTTCTGACAGCCTCTCGCACCAGGCACACATGCAGTATAGGCATACGTGCAAGCAAAACACTCATAAATAATAAATATTAATGTATCGTTAAAGAATAAAAATAAGTAGAAAGAAGTTTAAGTAAGTAAGAGTTGTTTGAAATAGTGTATATGAAGCCCCATTCTGCTGGACTGGAGTGAAAGCGGTCTGCTTTCTCTGTCCTTTCTGACTGTTGAGCAGGACTATTCCTGCTGTTTGTCTGCAATGAGGCCACATGCCTGCCAAGTGCTGTGTCTGCCCTGGAGGCACCAGTCAGTCACAGAATCTCTCAGGAGGCATTGTGGAGACCTCATTGTCACATGTGGAGACTTGTCCAAGGTTGAGGAAGGAAAGTAATTGGCCTGGAATTTTATAATTGCATTCTGTACTTGTGGTTGGCTCTCAAGTTTGTTGGAAGGCAAAAATGGAAGCCTTGGAGAAAAAAAAAAATGAGTCAAGAGTAAGCTAAAATGAATTAAAGATGGAAGGTCCTGTGGAGGAACCCAAGTCTCCTTTAGCATAGAAGCCATGGAGGAACATGGAAGGAGGCATATGTGACAGGTTTTTTTGGTCACTACATTACAGAAGCTGGAATGGGAGTCAGCCTTCTGTGTCACAGCTTCACTTGATGCTACTGCTGCCTCTTTCTGCTCACTGTACTTCTCTGTGTTCAGCCTATGCCTGCAGCAAATAGTTGTGGGTAGGCTGAACCAGCTCATTGTCTATTGAAAAGCCATGAGAAGCCAAGGGTTTAGTCTCCAAATTCATTCTGTTGGTTATCCTTTAACCACATTTTATCACTTCTGAAGTGAGCATTGTTGCTCTGGGTTTACCTTCCAGGGTGTGTCTGAGCTGCTGAGCTGTAGCCGTCAGGGGCTGCATTGCCTGCAGGGTGCCAGCCACAGGCACGGGCACTTGCCCTTGTAGAGATGGATGGCATGGTGGTTCTGGACTGAGGCATAGAAGGGTAGTACGCAGTACTAATTGTAGGGAGAAGGGCAGGCACTGAGAAGTGACTCAGGCCACAGACTGATGCGTAGCACAGCTGGTCTGCTTGCAGCTGTTTTCTTTGCGGTGATGTATTTAACAGTGATACATTTTACAAAGGTGGCACCTTAGCCATCTTCCTCTTCAGGGCCAGTGTGTGGGCACCTTGATTTTAGTGAACAGGTGAGTCCTGTCACAAACTTGAAACTGCGCTGTGCCTGCCTGGCCTAGGGTTTCCAGGGTCAAATTTGCAGAGAAATCCTGAGACCAGCAACCCAGCCTGAGTCTAATAACAGTGAGTTGTTGTCTTTGTGAGTGACGCTTACCTGTAATTCACACACAACGAATGCTGTTAGGTGGGCATAATGGCATCTGGATGTCAAACGTGAGAATGCAGAAAAATTCTAGTTCTTAAAGCATCTTTTATGTCCAAAGCCTTGGAAAATAAATTGGTAGGTATTTAATCGAGCCACTGTCAACAGAGCAGCGCCAGGGGAAGTACAAGTTGCGGAGGGCATCTTGAAGCTGTGATGAGACTACTCTAGGGTATTTCATTAGAAAGAAATATTGAACTTAGGATATAAGGTGTCTCCTGCTGCAGGTATGTCCTGCAGAACATGCCTGGGCCACAGAGCCACTGGTTCAGCTCGCACTGAGGTCTTTGAGTAGCCTTTACGGGGCAGTAGACAACCAGGAATGAGTGTGTGTAGTCTAGGTAAGCAGAAGGGAAGAATGGTCATTAAAAGAAGATAGATTTGCTTTTACTTTGTATGTATGGTATCTGCCTGCATGTGTGTATGTGCACCATGTGTGTGCCTGGTGTCTTCAGAGCCAGAAGAGGGTGTTGGGTCTCCTGAAATTGGCGTTACTGACCACTGTGAGCTGTTATATGGGTGTTGAAAAACTGAATCTAGGTCCTCTGCAAGGGCAGGAAGTGCTCTTAACCTCTGAGCCATCATCTCTCCAGCCTCCAAATAGACATTCCTAACTATGTAAAAGTGTATGTTAACCCAGCAGGATGCACTTGTATGTCCATTGCACCTCAGTGTGCTGTTGCACCAAGACCATTCTTATTGTGAGGGTTCTCCTGGGCCAGTCGTGAAACATGCTTTAAGCATCTATTTGTATTTCAGGGTCCTGGGCAGAGCGTGGAGGATAGCAAGTACAGATTACATCTTCAGGGCTAAACGGATATGCTGGGCCTTTGGCTTAAGCCGATATTCCTCACATCCTCACAGAGCTGGCAGTGTGTTTTGACTCCTTGACCAGGAAGGATAGCATGAAAGTAGCAGACTTCAGTGATGCCTGGAGGGCTGTGTTCTCAACTTTGTTTTCCAGTAGGCAGTTACCTCACTGTCAGGTGTCACTATGGAAGAATGTCTTTTCCAAAAGACGAAGTGACAGGTTTTCCTAGGAAGGACACGTATGTTAACATTTTTCCACATGAGCAGGATTTGAGTACTGGGGTGAGGCTAATGCAAATGACTTGTGCAACTGGATTGTGCTGCCTGGAGGCTATTGCAGAACGAACTCAAAGGCGCAAATGTGACACACACACACGTGGGTGTGTTAGTGTACGCTGCTGTGCTCCAGGGAACCCTGGAGCATCCACACACACAGTGGGAGAGACAGAGTCCTTTCGATCCAGCTCTTGCTGGAAACCCAGAGTCGACCTGCAGAGCTTTCTTCTGAGGTCACGACCATGCATACCTGAGGTGGCTCTGTCCCCTGCATGGCAAACTGAAGTCAACTGTATGGCAGAGAACTGGGTTTGCTAGCCTGGTCTCAGGGGGGAAAACCACACTCCAGGCCTTCAAGAGAACTGGGAGCACAGCCCCCTTGTCAGATGCCTGGTCACCATTGTGCGAACACATGCCTGCTCACTCCAGACAGGGAACCAAGACAGACCAAAGGTGCAAAGACCCTGAGTCCAACTTGGCAAACCAGGGAGTTTATTGGGTTAGGAGTATCAGTGAGGGGCAACTTGAAGGAGCACATGTGACTCAATTGACACTGTTGGTGAACCAGTGAACTTGACTGGGATCGTCACAGGGGTCAGGGCGACTTGGGTGTAGCTAAATGAAGAAGGGTGTCTCTGTCCTCCAGCAGTTAGTAATTGCTTGTGCATCCCGGGGGAAGGCTGAGCAGACTCACAGCATCAGGAAGGCTGATGCATCTTGGAAGCCCCTCTTCCATGGGGGCTGTTTAGTGGGCTCGACCTGGTGAGAGCTGCAGATAATGGCAGCTGCTCTGATTTGAGGATGGTGCTGACCATGTCTGAACCAGGAGACAGTTTGCTATGACCTGCCCCTCATCAGGAGGCCCATGAGCAACACCTGCTTTTTGGGTTTCCCTCTCACCTTGCACAGGCATGTTTCCCCAAACTCCTTGTCAGATTCATTAGGGTCAGACTTGCTGTTGCCTGCTCGTGTGACAGTTTGCACTCTTGTGCAGTCCTTGCACACACTGGTTTATGTGTGCTCTGGGCTGCGTTTCATTCATTGAAGAATTTGAATCTGTTGTTGTTTTTAATTTGGGATCATGTTTCCGTCTTCCCTCTCTTGACCAACTGTGTTCACGGCACCAGGACAGCAGTTCCCTGCCTGTTGGTCTCCGGCCCTTGATGTCACATTTTCTGTGGGAGCGGCAGTCTCCTAGGGCCCCTCACTTGTCACTTAGTGTTTCTTTTGTTAGGACTGATGCTATTTCTTAGCACCCAGCACTGTAAGCTTAAAGCATCAGTTGTAGCAAACATTCTAGAGGCCAGAAATCCAACATGAGGCAGAAGTCAGTTCTGTCCTGGCCCTGTGAAAGCTCTGGAGGCCTTTCCTGCGTTCCCTGGGTGCCGACATGGCCAGTATTCTGCACTTGCGTGTCAGCTCCCGGGCACCCTGCCTTGTCTTCTTGCTGAATTAGGGCCCACCCCAAGGCCTCTTGTCTTTAGATGAGTAGGGGGAAGTAGCATTCCTTGCGTGGTGGGCCAGTTGCAAAGAAGGCGTAAAATAAGGCTTGTATTTGTGTGCAGTGCTCACATCTATAAAATAGACTTGTATCCTTAGCTGTGTGGTGTGTGTGCACACAGAAGTATGCAGAATGCTGATGAGCGAGCACAGAGACCAGAAGAGGCCGCTGTTGTTCTTGGTCACTCTGCACCTCACTCCCTGTTCTGTTGGCCAGCCAGCCCTTTACATGGAATCTGAAACCAAGTCCGTATGCGGGCAAAGCAAGAACTGTTACCACTGAACACACCCCTTTTTAGCTAAAGCACCAGGATTGTTTCCTGCCCGCCGTCTGGAATAAGGCTTATGGCTTCATTCGAGGGCAGCCGGCAGGCAGAGAGGTCTGTGCCAGCACGAACACCTCCCTGGTGACATGCTGTCTCTTGCAGAGTTCTCTGGGGTGCTTCACCAGTGCCACATCCTGGCCTCTGAGATGGTGCACTTCATTCATCAGATGCAGTACTACATCACCTTTGAGGTAAGCTGGCTTCCTGCCCCTGCAGTCTGGCTCAGTGCTAAGACGAGCAGGCCCTGTCCACAGCCTTACCTTTCCCTTTAGGTTCTTGAGTGCTCCTGGGATGAGCTTTGGAACAGAGTGCAACAGGCCCAGGACCTGGACCACATTATCGCAGCGCACGAGACCTTCCTGGACACCATCACCTCACGCTGTCTCCTGGACAGCAACTCCAGGGTAAGGCTCCGTCCTACAAACCAGGACCGAAGCTGTCAGTTGTCAGGCACTGCTACATCAGGGACCCTCAAACTTGTTCTTTGAGGGTCACTTCCTAATAGGGTTGGAATAAAATCGGTCAGATGGGAGTGTGCGCTGACACCTGGTGTGGCCATAAGGATAAGTACGAGCAGTGATACTCAGTTGGTGGGTATGGAACAGGAGACTTTGTCATGAGTGACGGCCTGTGGAGCTATGTGAGGATGGGCACTGGAAAGGCATCGGAACACCAAAACAAGTGGTGGCGTGTGTGACAGTCCCGAAAAATGGAGAATGTACAGCTCTTCGTGTCTTTCTTCCTCTTTGTTCTGGGAATCAGTCTTGGGGCCTGTGGTTTCTAGACACTCACTCTGAGGACGCAGTTTCCATTTTCTTGGTTAGGGATAGTGCTGTTTTAGATAATGGCATGTGGCTACATGGATTTAACCGGACTGTGTGCACAGAGCTGTGAGTGCCTCGTAGCTCAGGGCTTTCTCCTTGACTTTGTTTCTCTAGAGAGCCCCTGTTCTGGGAAGGGGCATGTTTTGAGTAGCAAGGCTTTCTGGAGTACTGATTTCCTTTAAAGGTCTGGGACAAGAAAGAACACACTCTGAGCTGGAAGCAGGTTAGCTGTGCATCAGGTCAGCCTGTGTGAGCACTTCTCACAGTGCACGCTGCTCGAGACACAGTCCAGGTTTGCAGGGAATGCTGCTGCCCCTACTTTACCGAGGCTTTCAGTTTGTTTTCTGTTTGTCTGCATTAGCCTACCATGCTGGGGAGGAGTGTTTGAATAAACTTAATTATTAGTATGTGTAACATACGGTGAGCAAAGGCACTTCTATATGCAAGTTGCTTTCTGGATACTGAAACAGTGGCATAGAAACATGCTGAATATACTTTGAACATAATTAGTAACTCACGAAATGGGCATCTGAAGTGGTCTGGGTTCCTGTTGGCCATTCTTACCAAGTCCAATCTCTGAGGTTGGTATACAGTGGGTGTCACATCTCTAATGTGCCACTTTGTTATGACTGTGGTGGTGTCAGTATGCTGGTGATTGTATGGTAGTGCCCGCAGGTCCTCAGCCATTCTGTGATGTGCCATAGACCTGGAGCGCCCATGAGTGGGCCATTGTCAACGTTCAGACAGATGGCAGGCTCTTCTTGTGACTCCAGGGCTCTGTTTTCAGAAGCAAATGAAAATTTGTGGGAATTAAATTATATGATTCACCATGGTAACCGGCTTGTAGATGTAGCTGCTCCTCTTTTCAAGCTATTAAAGTCACATTTTAGTTATTTTGCAGAGGTTAAACAGTTGTGAAAGTCACCAGGTGTATTGCTCTTCAGAAAATGTTGGGATTACTAAGGACTGCACCCACGCTGGTACCTTGTGCTCTCTATGGCTCTGCTAACACGGGGGCTGAGCTCATAAAGGTTGGCAAATGTCTATGTGAGACAAGTTGGGTCGTCCTAATTCTTGAGTTCATAGAATAGCTGTGGATATGAGCCAAAGAAGCTCATGCTGCCTGTCTGCAGGGCAGTAGTACTGGGGAGTAGTTGTTTGGGGGCGAGTATCACTACCTTCACTGAAGGAACTGTGCCTCAGGCTCCAGCAGTCCTAAAGTTGTGCCTCGGTGGCTGTGTAATGAAACGACTAGCTGTTGTTTGTAGGGTCAGGGTCCTGCTATACAGCTCAGACTGGCCGGAACTGGCTGGAACCCCATCTTACCTGCGGACTGCTGAGATTATAGCTATGAGCTACCACACCTGGCTTGGAGCATTTTGTCATCGTTTGTTCCTAAGGAAGAAATCTATTATATAAAACAGAGTGAGGTAATCTGTTCTGGGCATACAAATTTTAAATATAGCATTTTCATTATGTCACTATGAGAAAATCAGTTATCATGATACACAATGAAGCTGGAGGTGGAGGAATGACAGTTGCAGGTATGAATGTGTGTATTTATGCAACGTTGAAAAACCTTGAGCAGCACAGTAACACGATGCAGGCTGGAAGCAGCTCAGAGTGTGCAGTCACAGAGCCCTGGAGCAGAGCGAAGAAACTGAGTGCACACTTTACCTAATGGCCCTCAGGAGAGATGCAGTGTTCCAAAAATAAGCTGTTTTTTTACACACTACAATAGAAAAATAAACTAGAGAATTACATCCTTATTAAAATTTAAGCAGTACCATTTCCATTCTTTGTTTTCTATTTTTGTCATAAAATAAAATTCTGGCAGACAACAGGGTGACACTTCCTTGAGCTTGTGTCCAGCATACATGGCTGCTTGTCAGCAGTGGCATCTCCTGTTCTGCCTGCATTTCTGTGCAGGTTGAAGGCCTTGTTTCACATGTGTGCACTGTAGCTCATTTTGCAGTTTCTGTTCCTGGATTGGTTCAGCTGTCAGTGGTGTTGCCGACATCTCAGCAGGACAGGGCGCCGAGATGGGTGACAGGAATAGCTTCATTAACTGTGGAGTGAGTGTGGATATCAGCTTCTCTGCAGGCTGGAGTCTTCTAAAGTGTGGTGGTTTGAATGAGAATGGCTCACGTGTTCAAATGCTTGGCCCCTGGTTTGTAGAACTGTTTGGGCGGAATAGTAGGTGTGGCCTTGTTGGAGGAGGTGTGTCACTGGGAGTGGGCCTTGGTGTTTCAAAAAGCCCACACCTGGCCCAGCCTCACTCACTGTGCCTGCTGTCTTTAGATCAGGATGTAAAGCTCTCACCTACTGCTCCAGTGCCTTGCCTGTCTGCTTCGTGCCACTATGACTGTGGACTCACCCTCTAAAACTGTAAGCTCCAACTAAAGGCTTTCTTTATGAGCTGCAGTATAGCAACAGCTAAGTCACAAAGCAAGGACTAGGAGGAGCCTGTCCATTTTGGTGTTGCTGTGTGGCTTTGGAGATGTGCGCACACTTGTAGACACACACAGAGCTCACATGGTAGTTAGTGTGTCTGTACCCTCAAGTCACACTTTCGGCAGTGGGTGTTACTTTAGGACAGCCCGCTCTCAGAAGTCAAGTTGAGAATCCGGCAGCACCTGCTGGCAGCATTACTGCTTTGTTAGGGTGCAGACCTCTTGACCCGAATGCTTCCTTGCCACCCTCCTCTAACATGGTTATACTGGAGACCATTTTCCCGAGTCTTGGGAGGCAGAGAACCCCAAGCACAAGTGTATCTTAAGTGGAAATGCCTCACTAGCATGTTGAAATTCTGTTCATTGGAAAACATTGTCTTTTCAGGTACTTTTGAATCAGCTCAGAGCTGTGTTTGATCAAATCCTTGAACTTCAGAATGCCCAAGATGCGATGTACAGAGCTGCACTGGAAGAGTTACAGAGACGGTTGCAGTTTGAAGAGAGGAAGAAACAGCGTGAAGTTGAGGTTTGCTTTTGACTCATGCTTTCTCACTGCTGCCAGTCACTGTGGACAGCAGCGATAGCTTCTTTGCGGAAATCTCCGCACACTAGTTGATGTGCAGTCGACTCTGGGTTGGAGGAAGTTCTGAGTGCTGTCAGATTGAGTGGTCACCTCACTCTGTGACTGTGCTGTAGAGCAGCGACAGTGTTGCCCCAGTGTCTCTGTCCTGGTGTCTCCAGAGTCAGCCTGTGCCCTATCAGTGACTAGAAGCTGACTTGTTACTGACACACGAGCTTGGTTTCCTTAGGACATTTCTGTGTGTTCCCAGTGGCCTGGAGTTGGTGAGATTCGTTAGACAAGTCGGGCTGCTGGTGGAGTTTCTTGCTCTTTCTAGGTGCCTAGTCTTGGGGTAATGAAGGACAGGTTGTTTAGTTGGCATAGTTAGTTGGTTTTACTTTTGAGTATTACTCCTGTGCCACCCATGTAAGGTGTCTGGTGGCCACATCGCAGGTGCCGAAGGGTGGAGTTTGGAAGCAGGAGCGTGTGTCCTTTCGGTGCTCTTGGTTATCCTAGCTGCAGTGACTTGTGGGTGGTTCTGAAGAACACACACATAATCTCCTGATCCATGCCCAGCAGCCTGTTTGTGCCTGACCAACACAGGGTTATGCCCTAGCCATCACTTTCCATCTCTGTGCTGTTGGTAGAGTTGTCACCTGTGACGTGACATGTAAAGCAGTTGTGATACACAGAATGACGTCAGTGTCACCCTCCAGTGTTAGCTATTGTCAGACTACATATAACCTCCCACTGAGACCAACCTTTATTATTCTAGGCAGGCAGTGGTGGTACACACCTTTAATCCTGGCACTCAGGAGGCAGAGGCGGGTAGATCTATGAGTTCAAGGACAGCCTGGTCCACACAGTGATTTTTCAGGATAGCCAGAGCTATATATTGAGACCCAAATTATATATATATATATATTTGGTCTTAACCAAAACAAATGTTTACTGTTCTGATAATAGTGTGATGGCTAGTTGTGCGCACAGTGCTGGTCTCACCACGTGGCTGCAGCAGCAGAAGTGACACGGCCACAGACTGAGTGTAGGTTTATTGGGTGCGTTTCATTCAGAGACGCTTGCTTGTCTAGGGAAAGTTGGAAAGCTGAGACTGCCTACAAAATGTATTTAAATTCAAAAGGTAAAATAACTCTGAACAGTCATTCAGATGTGGGTCTGCTGAATTCGTTAGAGATGGAGCTAGCTCCTGAGAGGATTTCAGCATCCTGAGTGCCGTGCTGTGGAGGCTGGCTTCCGCCTCTATCATGCTGCTGTTAGGTGGAGCAGTCCCAGAGGTCCTTCCTTCGGCAATTCATGGCTCCTCTACTTTTTTCCCACTTTTCTTCTCAAAACCCCTTCAGTTATTATGATATTTCCAATTCAAATTTAGGATTGAAGGGCTTTTACTTCTTTCAGTTTAAAAAATACATTTCTACATTGACATTCTTGGTTCAGCATTAGCATACTTAGTTCCTGCTGCTGTGACACCCACACTTCTGTACACACCCCTGTGCTCATGATTCTGGGACCAGTACCAGCCATAGTAATTGACTGCACCGTGACTAGTATGACTTCCCAGAGAATCTAGCCCACTAGGTAAGTGTATTCAGAATCTACATTGTCCAGTCCTGTGAAGCGGTGATTCCAAAATGTTATCCCGCCATCTCAATACACATTAACTGGAGTTATTTCTGCTGTTCTCTGTTTGGTAGAGCATGGATGTGAAACTCCAAAATTTTTACTAATTGGCATACCAAATGGAGAATATGTTACAGAATGTTTGAGATTATTCCAAGTATACAGAAGTCTTTGTATCGGTCTAGTAAGATTGTTATAAACTGGCTTTTTCAGAATAAAGGAAAAATGATTAATCCCAAGTAAAACCTGATTAAAGATCTGTATGGCAGATCTGCTCATTGCTGAAGTGCTGGGAGCTTCTCCTGAGATGAGAGTGAGACTGGGAACTGTTGGGTTGGCACGCCATGCTCTGATGGTCATGAACATGGCAGGGAAGAAGGACAGAGAAACCAGGTTCCTTTGCAAAAGTGGTTGTGAGCCTGAAATTCGAAATAACCTTAATGTGAATTATTGGAATAAATAAGTGAGTTTGGCTGGGTGCCTAGAAATCAAATATTCAAGAGTTTGTTTTCTGTCAGTGGCAATCAGAATGAAAGTTTAAAAGACATGCCATTAGAAGTCAATGTGATCTGCATGTGTTCTATAAGGCTGAAACGGCCTGGCTTTTTTGAATTTGTGGTGTCCAGCAAGGCTCCTGGAGCCATCCCGAGGACCCTGATGTTTTCAGTCTCCTTTCCAGTTGTAACAAAAGCAACTTAGGAAGAAAGGCTTCGTGAGCTCACAGTTGCAGGCTTCTGTCCACAGAGGCCGAGTCACAGAGCAGAAGCTCGAGGGAATTGTTTCCACAATCAGGAACAGAGAGCAAAGAATGCATTTGTGCCAAGCCTCAGGACCCTCTTTCCTTTTCATCAGTTAGGGCCCAGCAAATGGGTGGCACTGCTCACAGTTGGGGTGGGTCCTCTCACCTCAGTTAGCGAAGTTTAGAAAATTGCTCACAGCCTTCCCCATAGGCCAGCCTAATCTACGCAAGTCTACATTGACAGTCTTCCCAGGTGACTATACATTTTGTCAATCTGATAACTAAAACTAATCATTACAGCTTCCGCTTTGTCTGCCTGACACACAAATACATTACTTTAAGCCACACCTTTCTGTGTTAGTTAGGGTGACTATTGCTGTGATGAAACACCATGACCAAAAGCAATTTGGGGAGGAAAGGGTTGATTTGACATTCTTGTGCATCATCACAGGAAGTCAAGACAGGAATTTAAACAGGGCAGGAAACTGTAGGCAGGGGCTGATGCAGAGACCTTGGAGGGGTGCTGCTTACTGGCCTGCTCTTTGTGGCTTGCTCAGCCTGCTTTCTTATGGAACCCAGAACCACTACCTCAGGGATGGCAGCACCCACACTGAGCTAGTCATCAATTGCTGACTAAGAAAATGCACCACAGGCCTGCTTACAGCACGATCTTACGGAGGCATTTTTTCAATTGAGGTTCCCTCTGCTCAGATCACTATAGTTTGAGTCAAAGTTGACATAAAGTTAACCAGCATACTGTCTACTCCTTCTCCCCAAAGTCTTCTGTTGCGCTCATAATGTAAAATTTAAAAAGTTTCCATAAATTTCCATAAGTTTCTTATAAATTTGTAATATTTTAGAAGTTCAAAGACTCTGAAATGTGAACTCCTATTAGATCAAAAACAACTTATACACTTCCAACATATAATGGCACAGAATAAACATTCCAATTTCAAAATGGAGTAACATAGCAAGAAATAATCAAACTGAAATGCCAAACCCAATATGGCCAAAACCAAATACCGCAGCTCCATGTCCAGAATCTGGGGCTCATGATGAAATTGACTGGGCTCCAAAGGGTTCAGGCAGCCCCATTCCTTCTCTTTCAAACTTAGTCCAGCTCCGCTTCATGCCTGCAGCTCTTCCGGGCACATGTCCTGTGATCCTGGCATCCCCAACACTCTGGGGTTTCTACACTTACACTTCATCTTCACAGTAGCACACACGGCCTCTGAGGGCTTGCTTCTCTCTGGGGACCTCACCCCTGCCACACAGTGCCTGACCCCAGCTGCTCTCTGCCACTCCTTCCTCCTTGTGTCTTTCATACTTTCAAAAGCAACAGCACCTAAGCAGAGCCACCATCAGGAGGTGTAGTCTGCCCCCGTGGACCATAGCTGTGTCAGCTTCTGTGTGCTGACCCTGAGGACACACTTTCCTGATGTCACCGTGCAGACCACCAGGTTTCTCCTTCATGGTGCTCATCTCTGTAACAGCCACAGCTGCTTTTCTGTCTGCACTTCCATGTCAAAAACTTGAAGCTTGTCCACACACCTTTCTAGTGAATAGTCCATTACCTTTAAATTCAGTGTCACTCAAGATTTCAGGACACTGGCAAAATTAAGGCAGATTCTTACTAAAACATCACAGGCCCTGGCCCAGTTGCTGACAGTCCTTGTTCTTGGAGGCCTCATGAGCTAGGCCTGGGTTGCTGGAGACAGTGGGTAAATAAGCTAGTAAGTGGCCTAATGGCTAATGAGAGGTGGAAGCGGGCATGTGTAAAGAAATCGAGAAAGCAATGGCATCGTCTTGTCCTTACGTCCGTGGAAATAGATTGATATCTGTAATGGTCTGCAGGTCCCCAAAGTGGACTGCATTTGGATATGCTAAAGGGGGCTTATGCTGTTGAAAGTACAGTTGGGGCTGCTGGAAAACCTCCCACCCTGCCTAGCCACAGTTCCATGTTACAACAAGGCCATTGCCAGAGGGTGTGAATTATCTGAACTGATATGACTTAGAAAGAGCAAGCCTGAGTTCTGATTACCAATGGGCAAATCAGACTTTAGCAAAATGAACAGTTTCCTACATCCAGGGTATGTACCAGGAATGCCAAGGTTCAGATCAGAAAATGTAGTAAATGGAATTTCACATGTTTGCCAATGAAGAGAGAACTCCCACACAGGCTGGCTGAACAGTCAAGTTTACCTTTACTGAAATTTTTTCTTGGTGGCAAAGAGGTGTTGAGATAAGGTCTCACTGTGTATAGTCCAGTCTGACCTCCAGCTTCACCATTCTCTTGCCTCAGATGGGATTGTGGGTGTGAGCTACTGCATGCCTGGCTGAAAATGACCTTTTAGAATGAGAGTAGGTAGATGTGTCCCCAGGAAACACCTCAGTCCACGGAAGATTGTCTGAGGTGTTCCCTCTAGAGTCAGGAGTGCCATCTCTCAGAGTTGACAATTCCCTTTGTGCTCGTTGTCAGAATGAGGGCACGTGGAGGGACACGGCCATCCACAGCACAACACACAAAGCTGTGGAGATTGGTTAGTGGGAGTAGGCCTCACAGTGATGAGCTGTGCGTTCAACGTTCTCAGTAGCCAGCAAGGAGGCATCCACCAGCTGAACTTGCTGCTGCTTCTAATCCTCCAGGGCCAGTGGGGAGTGACAGCAGCCGAGGAAGAGGAGGAGAACAGGAGGATCCGGGAGTTCCAGGACTCCATACCAAAAATGTGCTCACAGTTGCGGATATTGACGCACTTTTACCAGGTGTGTATAAGTGCGGGCCATGGTGTCCTCTTCTGTGCTCGGTGCTTGCTTCTGGAGGGTTGGCCATGTGGCTGGTGGCTGTCGTGTGGGCAGCACTCAGGAGCTGGTGGTCCCCCTGAGGAGTCGCCCTTGCTGACTCATCCTCACTGGGCTCTCTGAGCAGCCGTACAGCTAGGAGGGGAGACCCTGGGTGGGATTCTAATGCTCGTCATGGTGACCGCACTGAATGGTGTAGGTTTGTTTGAGAGGTCTAGGCCATGAGCGGTCACAGTGACTTTGCTAAATCAGCATCTGACAGAACCATGTCCCTTCACAGTAGTAGAGCCCAGGAATGGCTTTGAGCTTGAATCCGTTTCCCCTCTAGAGTCATGGCTGAGCATATGTTTGTAAGCCGGTGAGATGACAGGGATGCCCAGTGGAACACCAAGCTTTCTGTTCCCCTGTAGCGTGTGTGTGTGCAGAGGGATGTCAGGAGGTCGGCCTGTCTTAACTGCACAGACAGCGAGTCCTGATGGAGCCACACAGGCTGAGTGGACACCTGGGCCATGCTCAGTTCCTGCTCGGGGCTTGTTGCGGTGGCATCGGGAGGGGCTGTGCTCGGGCAGAGCGCTCTGACCAACTCTCCTGTGTTCCATCCTAGGGTGTTGTGCAGCAATTTCTGGTGCTGCTGATGACCAGCTCTGATGAAAGTCTTCGCTTTCTCAGCTTCAGGTTGGACTTCAATGAGCATTACAAAGCCAGAGAACCCAGGCTCCGGGTTTCTCTGGGCAGTAGGGGCCGGCGCAGTTCCCACACGTGAGGCTGTCTGAGGTTAGGAGAAGCCCACACAAGCCAGACTGTCCAGGCTGCTGGATGCCGCGCACAGGCCACGGTGTTTCGGCACTGTGTCTGCTGGAGTCTCGTTTTCCACCTGACCTGAGTGTCTGTGATGTCACCCAGTTCAGGAGTCCACTCACCAACAATGTAGTCTTCATAGTGGGAAGACGCTGTGATGTGTTGGAACATCTAATTTCCACCATGTAATTTATATTTGTCAGTTAAAAAAAAGACAAAAAAAACCCCACCACCAACAAACTGTTTCTTGCCACAGAAAACTAAGGCAGTGGTGTGTTTATAAATTGAGAGAATGTCACTGCTACTTTTTAGCATCCTCTGTAGAGACAGTTTTTGTTATCATGATGACGCTAAATTGAAACATGTCTCTAGGAAAATACATAGAGTATTGGTGTTAGTGTTGAAAACACGAGCCTGGTGAGGACATCGCTACCCAGGCATCGCCGTCACACTCGTTCTTACTTTCTCTTCCAAGGTTTACATTTTTATATTTAGTTTGCTAATTCAAATAATGTGTAAAGCAGTGCAAACGAGCAGGGGCCATGGAGGGCGGAGGTGTCGCTAGCCCAGCTGTGCAGACCACACTGGGCAGTGCACGTGCGAACAAGGCAAGGCCAAGACTGTTCTATTTTCAGAGTTCTGATAAGTGTTGGAAAGAAATCAACTTGGGTACTGGAGGCTTCCCTTCTCCTTGCCTATTTTTTCATTGTAAATATTTATATATTACCAACCAGATGATGGAGGGAACTGGTTTTTGTAAAAATGTCCTATCGGTCACATAATTATGCCTTTTTTATGTTGCATAAGTGAGAACTTAGAGAATTAAAGACCATTATCTTTCAGATGTGTCACGTGTTTCTCGAGCACTCTGGAGAAACTGTCCACTTGCTGGATTTGTGGGTAGGAACTGATGGGATTTGCTTGACTGCTGCAGGACATGAGTCCTTTAAAGTTTGTGAAGCTCGTATTCCACTTGGAGTATGAGAGAGTGCAAGCAAGCACTGCTGTGCACTCGTCGCTTCCACGAGCTCACGCCACATCCAGATCTGTTTGTGGTTCCAGGGCACTGGGAAGTCCAGGTGTCACAGTAGTGAATCCGCGGTGAAGGCCGTCCTTAGCACGTAGCTTTATTTAAAATTTTACAAATGCAAAGCTGGGTGTGCAGGCACATGCCTGTGACCATAGCAGTTGGTGGGTAGGGTCTAGAGGACCAGGAGTTCAAGGTCATCCTTTGCCACACAGGTAGTGTGAAAACCCTTGGGATGCATAAGATCCTCCTCACACACACACTCACCAAAAAACAAAAAACAAAAACAAACAACAACCAAAAAAAGTTTATAAAATCAGACCTTTGGAGCAGCTCTCCCTACTGCAAGTCCTTTCTGGAAATTTTGATGTATGGTGTATTTCCAAGAGAAATTTCCAGTGTCATTTGACCTATAGCACTGCGTTTGTCTTCTTGTCAGCTGCTGGGGTTAGTCTTCTGTAGCCCCACAGTCTGCTCCTGAGTGGTTCCTTTCTTGGGGCAAGGAGTAAGGAGAGGCGGCTGGCCCAGGCCTTGCTGCACGTTGCCAGGCCTTTCCCAGTGCCAGGCCTGTCCCATCTCGCTGACAGCTGCAGGAACACTCTCCTTCACTGTGCCGAGAGGAAGATCTGTGCTCAGAGGGGTGTGCATTTTCCTTGAGACACAAACAGGACACCAGTGACCTCATGGTGGCACAGCAGAGAGACAGAGCTGTTCAACAGGCATTTCATCTTAAAAAAACAAGCACAGAAGAAAACAAATCTGCCAGCCTTATTATGTGTGGTGGCAGATGGCACTGTGAGTAAGCCCCTGGGCAGATATTTTGAAAAGCGTGGAAACACTGTACCCGCCTCTCCTGGGTAGATGCTACAAATGATGTTTTGACAGTGAATGAGGAAGAAAACACCTCTCAAAAGACATGCATCTGTGAGAAAACATTCTGAAAATGGATTTTCAGAACCATAAAATTTTATTTTGTTGATAAGGATGACATTTGTCTCTGCTTTTCTTAAACACTTTAAGAGATACAGAAATGCAGTTTTAAAACATGTTCAAAGTGTTCAAGGAAGTGAGTTTTGGTAGCTTGTCAAAATCCAAGTTCAGCACATTTACTGCAGAGCACAGATATTCACTGGACCGGTTTCAACACAGGCCCGGCAGAGCTGCCAGTGTGGCTGAACGCCTGATGAGAGGCTGGAGTTTGGCTGCTGAGGTATGTCTATGTCCTGCCTTTCTTCTGTCCTTCACTCCTTCTGGGGAGCTGGCTCCCCCACCCCCACCCCCACCCCCAGCCAGGCATCACAGTCATTGGAACTGAGTATCAAAATTGACTGAGCTGAAGTGTCACTTCACATCATGGACAGCAGTGTTAAGCCAAGGAGCAGGAGCAGGAGCAGGAGAGCTTTTTGCTAAAGTCATTCTACTCATTTTTTTGTCAAGGAAGAATTGATGGCTGCTAACAGGCTTTAAAACTTTATCCTTGTCCTTTGGAAGTTTGTTTTAGTTCTGTAGTGTGTGTGCAGTGTTCTAACAGTTCTTGTTGAAAACCCATCTCACACTTACACCTCAGACTCAGTGTCGTTCTTTCTGCCTGGGCCTCCCTGGTGCTGGGATTGCAGGTGAGTATCAGGCCTGGCCTCACATTCTGGAATCCTCAGGGCATGCTGTTCCTTATCACACAGGAGCAGCCGTGGCTTAGGCTGGGGGTACCCAGAAGCATTGGTATACCCTTCCTGTGCTGTGCAGCTGAGGAGAGCTGTTCCCGGGGAGCCCTTCCTTGGCATCACTCCAGAGGCTCATCCAGATGGGATGAGGATTGGCAGGGAGGAGAGGGAAGGTGGTGGTGCCTGCTGTGTGTCACTGGGGAAGAGAGCATCAGAGTCTGCGACCCTGATGCCCATGCAATAGTATGAAAGTCAGCCTCAGTTCAAACCCTGGGGTCTTTGAGGGGTAGAATATGGAGACCCCAGTGTTCTTAGGATGTGATATTGATCTGCTTATTCCATGAGGTAATTCAGCAGGGTTTTGCTAAGTTCGAGCAGACTATAACTGCCCTGCCAGCAGTCCCTGCAGAGCCTGTGCTGACCAAGAGTTGTGCCAGTCACTGGGGCCTGATGTGTGGCTGTTCCTTCCCCAACCAAGGTGTATTACTCAGTTTTCTATTACCTATTGGCTGGTAATGTTTTAGATACACTAAATATTACGATTTGTCTTTTGTTTCTTTTTACATTTTAAACGGCCACTGGATAACGGCAGGCAACACATGGCAGGCGTTTGTGGCTTCATGCCTCCATGGCTTTGCACAACACTCACTCTGATCGTGCTGTGGCTTGTCATGGGCAGAGTGTACACACAAGGACCATTCTGAGAGCAACACACTCACTTTCTTCCCCCAGGTTCTCTGTTTATTCTTACCTTTTTTCTTGGTGAAGTTCAGGGTGCAGGAGAAGTCTCAGGCAGACACTGGGAGAGGCCTGCCATCTGCCTCCCCATTCCTTACCTCCTTGGCCAGCAGGATTCTGCGTTTATGTGGGGCCGTAGGGCTTCATAGTAGACCCTGCAGGAGAGTGCTGGGTCTGTGCACAGTACCATCTCCACTAGACTGAGCAAGAAGCCAATGTCCTCACAGTGTAGACTTGGCACTGGGAGACGCTTGGCAGTTATCTACTGCGCCTGGAGACACCTAAGAACCTGGTTTGTGCTGATGAGGCCAGTGGGCCTGCACTGAGGACACTGGGGAGGTGGCTTTGAGCATGATGGTCTGATGTTGGAAATGGGGGTGTGCCTTCATGAAGTATCCAGGAACATGGCACCACCTCAAACCCGTGTTTTCTTCTCATCTGCGACAGTAGGCTTCAGGTGGCTCATCCTCCTGGTGTAAGCACTCAGAGTGAATGCTGAGACAGACAGACTTTGAAGTCATGCTTGCTTGCACTTCTTGTCACCGGATGCAGCAGGAGAGTATCCATACATACAAGATTGCCACCTCTTCAATCATCTCTCATCCACACTGTCCTAATGCTGCTGTTTTCTAAATGTACCTTGTAAGATATTGCTTGTGCTGGCCCCTGGCCTCTGGTGGCATGCATGTGGGGCAAGCATCCATTCCATCCGAGCAGAACTGAACAATCACAGTAGGTGATGGGCCTGGTACTGATTTCCTCTGTGCACAGAAGAACCTCTTTGGGCTTCAGTCCATCCCGTGTCATTGTGTTTGTGGAATCAGACTGGAGGAAGGGCTGCAGGTTGGGAAGGGACTGGGTGAGGCCAGTCACCACAGCAGGCCTCAGAGACGTTGCAGGTGTTATCCCGAGGCAGCGGTGAGGTGGGCAATGATGTCCTTTGGGAACATGGAGAACATAGGATAAGCTGCCCACTGGCTAAGTCAGGCGATGCTGGGGTGGGGGGCTTTTTGCTGGAGATGAAATTGTGGAAATGTTGAGCTGGCTCTTGGGGAGAACATTTGGTAGTGGTATGCATGTATCAAGGGGAGGCAGGGGTACATGGCTGGGAAGCAGGTGACCCCATGATGAGCTGGAACCATTCAGCTTCCAGGCTGAGGTCAACTTCAAGTGGAGAACAGGGGAGAGCTACCACTCTTGGCAGTTTTGAGAGTCAGACTGAGTTCTGTCCTGGGAAGACCTGCTTTTCAACGTTTGGTTGTGAGTCTTGGCAGTGTGCAGGCATAACTTGAGACAATCGTGTGTCCTCAAGGGAACATTGCTTCCATGTCTGGTTTCAGCCCCTTACTTCGGAGTAATGGCAGAACAAAATGATACCAGAACAGAAACAGCCAACTGGATCAATGGGATGGATAGAAAGCACATAAGCCCGCACAGCTTTAGCCACCTGAGTTGTCACAGAGAGGCTAACCTTTAAAAAGAAAATTTAGGTATCAATTTACTGTCCAAACTATCGCTGTGGAGCCTCCACACTGGGGTGGAAGCAAGTTTGACTGGCTTCGTGGGATATCCAGGTGGGGATGTCCCCACTGAGCTCTTCTGTCCCTGACACCCTAGCCATCAGTATCAGGGCACCTCCACCACAGTTTATCCCAAAGCCTCACTGCAGTGGCTCAAGGGGGTTCTTGGTGTAGTCTGCACACATGTTTATTAATTTCCTGTGAAACAGAATGCCAGGTAGCTCCAAGAGAGCAAAGCTCCTGCCTTGCTAAGCCTGTGCCTTCTCTGCTGTTGTATGACTCTCTCTGGTTGGGGTCTTGGGGCTTGGAGACCATGGTCTTTATGCCTCCCTCTCGAAGGCTGTTGGATTGGGTGAGTTGGGGAATCTGAGCTTGTCCTCTGGGATCTCTGCCATGGGTGATCAGATTTAACTGGGTTTAAATTGTTAACTGGATTTAACAAGGATGGGCACAGAGCACCATGTGGATGCCTAGTCTGAAGGGACTCAGGAAGCCAACTTCTGGGCTGGATATAAAGTGTCTTCTTTCAGTCATTTCAGTTGGGCCCTCCTGAGGCGCCAGAATAGAGCATCTCAGGGCCCAGGGTAAAGGCACATTCCCATCATGTCCTTGGCTCTGCAGTGGGGCTGGGCCTGCATTCCTCCTCTGTGGGGAGTCAGGCTTCTGGGAACCTTCCAATCCTGCCCTGCCCTGCTTTCCTCCAAGACTTCTTAGAGTCCGGTCTGAGGCATTCTGGATGGGGCTAAAGAGTGGGGCTGCAATCTGGGCACAGGGATCTTTTCTGAGACTGATATTCCAGCCAAGAACTATGCATGGAGATAACCTAGAACCCCTGCACAGATGTAGCCCTTGGTAGCTCAGTCTCCAAACAGGCTCCCTAGTAATGGGAACAGGGG